CACTGACAAAATCATTAATGGGCTAAGCCTAAGCAGTTGATAAATGTCAACTGACAAATCACAAGTGAAACCTTCAGGTCTAAAGTCTAACTGGTAACTGGAGAGAAAACCAAGTGTGTACAATACAGTAGTTGGTTCATATTCGGTAATAACTTTTCAACTGCCATCTACCATTAGATATGTTTAGGAATAACTTTTTATTTGATTAATATACTTTCTGTGCAATAAAAGAGAAAATTAATTAGAAAAAGGTATAAAATTCAAAATTAAAAAGTAGGTGTACATGTATGGTATACACTCACACATATATATATGTTTGTGTGGGAAACAGACAACCTTTTGTTAACAAAATGCTTGCAGTGAAATGGCGGTGGCGAGTTGTTCTAGACCCTGTTCATGTGTGTGTGTGTGTGTGTGTGTGTATATATATGTAAAACTTCGTATATTTCAAAGTAAAATGCCAGACAATATCAACATACTCAAAATACCTGCCAGACAGAGGACATGTCCTCCTTTTGCCGGATGCCTGGTCACCCCAAGTTTGTATAGGACTGACATACTAATTGTTTCTGTTTTGCATCCGATATTAGATTTCTCTACCTTGCGAAAACAGCCCATTGGTGTTAAAGTCAAGCACGTAAAGAACATTTAAGATAAATTTTGAAATGCTTCGTGAATCAGTCCAACCAGAGAAAGTATGAAAGATAAGTTTTTACAATACACTGGGTTTTGTTTGTTAAGTAAAGAAAAATTTATTTTTTAAAGGGGGTTCATCATTGCCCGTGACTCTCCTACCGAAACCATTGGACACTGAAGTACATCATCCTGCTGAGTTTCTATCTGTTTTCTTGTGTAACCATTTATCTCTCAGCTACTCAGGATCTGCTGACTACTGGAAATAATTTTTAACCAAGACTGATGATCAGTATAGATTGCATGTGTTATATGTTGCTGAGGCTGCCTAATTTTTTCTGCTATTTTTAAGCTTATAAACTTTAATAACTAGACAGTATTAATAGTTTTTTTAATGCATTTCTTATCACTGATAGTTCATGTTTAGCATGTACTAAACATGTATAAATCAAAAATTTAAAGCAGAATTTGTAACTTTTGCATGAGTTTGCATAAGTTTCAGCGTAGCAGTGTGAAATTTAGTGTTAAGGATTATACAAAATGTTAGTTGATTTTATATGTTTGTGTACTGCCTGAAAAGACTTTAAATAGTTTAGTAATCTTGATATTTTCTTTCAAAATTTTATTTTTTTGGTAAAAACTACTAAATTTTATTGGATTAGCATTTTTTCTTTCTTGAATTTGCTCAATGCCTAAGTGATATTGTCTTGTGCTTATAAAGTAACTTTGTTTAAGGACAAGATAACGTAGTTGGGAGGGAAATAATTATTTTGATTTTGACGTAAAATTCCAAAATTGATGAAGCATTTGAGTAAATTAGTTAACAAGGCCATGTTGATAATTAGATATTACTGTTGTAAACACTTAAAGATGAGAGGAATGAAGAAGATAAAATTTCAAAAGTGAATTACGTGTTAATGTATTCATCAAGAATGCTCAGATGATACGTTACAAATCTTAATTTGACCTTAATCTTGATCATTTTAGTAATGTTTTGAATATATCTATCTGTATGATATAAGACTTGGTTAGTTTCATTCTTGCTGGTTGTCATGAGTTTACTTCTCTAACTTTACAAAAAATTTAAGCATTTTCTGAGTTATCTTAAAAAATAACTGTTTTCTAAGTACCTGTATCTAAATCTTAGCAGAAGAAAAGTGTGTTTTTGGATCTCATAATTTCAAACATTTCAGGTGAAGACTCTTGAAGCTCAAAATTAATGTTATATTTAAAATCTGGCAGTTTTAGTTTTTAAAATGATTAGATGACTGTGGGGTATTTAGAAAGTTTTGATTACTCAGATTTTTGTTTTATCATTTAATTCTTAAGAGTATTAGTTGTAATCGTTTTGTATACGTGTGTACTAGAAAGAATGAGTGCAGTTTTATCTTGTTATGTGATCTGTGTAGCTAAGGTTTATGATGGCAGTGAAATAAGTCAGCAAGTGTGAGAATAATTTGTTTTCATGGTTAACTTGCACATCACTAATTAGGATGGTTCTAATGTTGTCTGAATTGAGGTTTAGGCCTGACTGACATCATATCAATTTACTGCATGAAAGTTTCATGGTAAGTTGGGCACATATTTTTTATAGGTTACTTTTGTGAAACTTATGAGGTAATTTAGTATGAGAGTAGTTGATGTTTTCTTTAGGTTACCACTCTAGTATCGAGGAGTACGTGTTAATTCTTCTGTGGTACAAGTGAGATTTTTCCGTCCATTTTGAGTCTTAATGTCTCAAAGTATATGTTTAGACTTAACATTTCTAGTCTATAATTAGCACTTTTGTAACATCCCAGGCACAAGAAGGCCTGCACATAGTTTGGTTGCTCCTTATTTCCTCAAAAGGGGGCCTGGAGGAGTCACCTGTTTTTAACCACTTGCACCACTATAAAATAATGTGTTGTCTATCAGACAGTCAGTCAAACACTAAAATGACATCATGTAAGAGATGCTTAACATTGCAATTTGTACTGTTGTGACATGAGTAAAACGTGCGCATGCCATGAATCACGAAAAGAATTACACACACTGTAGGCTACAACACAGCATGACATATAAACTTGAAAAGCAAGAAATTAAAATATTTGTTACTCTTAATTTTGGTTTTATTTACTCCTGAAACAGAACACTTTCGGGGACCATGTGGAAGTACATCTAGTATTAATACATTCTTCATATACTGTCACAACCTTATCCATATGTTGATATTCATCACCTTAGCTCTTTTACTGGCATAGGCACATGTGTCTCCTTCTAGAGCACTGCCATGTGCATGTGTCCCCTTCTAGAGCACTGCCATGTGTATGTGTCCCCTTCTAGAGCACTGCCATGTGTATGTGTCCCCTTCTAGAGCACTGCCACGTGCATGTGTCCCCTTCTAGAGCACTGCCACGTGCATGTGTCCCCTTCTAGAGCACTGTCACGTGTGTGTGTCCCCTTCTAGAGCACTGCCATGTGAGTTTGAAATATTTAATTACCATGAAGAAAGGTTATTTCATCCAAACTCCTAAAAGTTTATTAGTTTCATGTTTCAGATAGGTAATGAAATATCAAAACGTGCATCTTTCCAGTTTTTTATTATATAGAAATACACCTGACACGAGGAGAACTATCTCTAAAGGTAGCAGTGATAGAGTTGATATGATTTGATTGAATATTTGTTATAAATAAATAAATCCAAGCTTCCATATTTTAAGGAAAATCTCAGAGTTTCTGTTTTATAGTTCTATACGAGATAAACTACACTGTTTGAAACATTTATTATTAAACTATGTTTATTTTGTAAAAGTATTCTCTGTGCTCAATATAATAGTAAGAATCTCGTTTTATATTGTTTTTATGTTAAATAAGATTATTCTTCCAAAATTTCAACAGTGTAGTGATTGTGTCATCTAATGTCCAGCTGATTTGATAGGTCTGTTTGTTGGAAATTAGGAAAGGCAGCTGAATTGTTTAGTTGATTAGTGTATAAAAGTAGGTTGTATACAGCCAAGTACACATCATCTACATTTTCTTGGAAGTGTGCTTGATTTGAAGAAGTTCATGAATTAAGGCTGAAAGATAGTTTATCTTGTTATCTGATTTTAGTTTAACAAAATATTGTTATCTTCACAAACTTATTGCACAGGAACTGAATTCAGTAAGTGTTGATATGTAAAGCTTAATCAAAACACCTAAGATGATTTAATGATTTCTAAGTGTACTATAAGGGTATAATTAATGATTTCTAAGTGTACTATAAGGGTATAATTAATGATTTCTAAGTGTGATCTTGCTGGTCGCTGACAAAATCATTAGCCCATCTACAAATGCAATCTTGCTGGCCGCTGACAAAATCATTAGCCCATCTACAAACGTGATCTTGCTGGCCACTGACAAAATCATTAGCCCATCTACAAACGATTGATCTTGATGATGTTGTTGAGAGGTTCGTTACTAAGTTTCCAAATACAAGGTTAACGTTGGTTTAAAATCGAAGAGGAGGATTGTTTTAGTTGGTGTCTTGGAAAGTTCATGCTTTTGACCATTATTCATCAATCCATTTTTAAGTGAACTTGTTATCCCCCCCCCTCAAAAAAAAATTGTTAGATATGCTAGAATGGTCAAGAGCCTTCTGATTCAAAACTCAATGCAAAGTACTTTTTGAAAACCAACATTGGCTCAATCTGCAATCTACAATCTGCGTCAAATTAAATGTGGCATATAGCAAATGTTATTGAAGAAATAAACTAATTAGTTACGTGGACTGAACTTTGCATTATTTTCAATAAATAATTTATAAGAACCCGCTTGGTTTGAATTTCGCACAAGCCGTCCCTAATTTAGCAGTGTAACACTAGAGGGAAGGCAACTAGTCAACACCACCCACCGCCAACTCTTGGGCTACTCTTTTACCAGCGAATAGTGGGATTGACCATAACACTATAACGCCCCCACGGCTGAAAGGACGAGAATGTTTGGTGGGACGGGGATTCGAACCCGCGATCTTGAGATTGCCATTCGAGAGCCCTAACCACCTGGCCATGCCGAGCCCTAAGAACCCGCATAACGAACGAATACGTTATAATATATTGTAGTATTTAATGGAGAAACTGGACCATCTTCAAAAAATATAAATTTATCTTTGTGTGTATATTTTTAAAAAAGTCATTCTAAAAGCTCTATTAATTTAATATTAGTCTGTTTTTATTATCCTGGCACGCCTCTTGATGAATCACAAGGCGAGTATATAATAAATTTATATAGATTGATATTGTTTTCCTTTTAGAACTATTCTCATTCCTTATATTTTACAATTACTTGATCATTGGAATGGGCGTTCCCCTAGAGATATTTTTGCATTATAACGAAACCGACACAATGTATTGAAATGTAAATTGAGTAAGATTAGCCTGTACTATAGTAGTATGAAGAACAGGACTAATGGTTAATTAGTAAGTTCAATAAGTTAAATTTTCAGTATGGTAAAGTAGATAATTTTACATGTTTTTCAATGTAATATATATATATATATATATTTATGTAGCTGTTTTTTTATGGAATTGTGACAAAACAAACTACAATGTACAGTAACTGTAAGTTGGAAAATAAGCTCGTAATTGAAGTTGAATAATAATTAATATTAACAGTAATTAAGTAAAACACTTAACAGTAATAAGGCAACACCTAGTATCAACATAAACTTGACAAATTTTGTAAACTAACAGTTACATTTTAAGTTAAAACAATTTATTCAACGCTGGTTACTTACACGCAATTTAATTGTAATATTCTAGCACTGTCATGGTGTCAGTAACCACTACACCGCAAAGTAATAGTAATAGCAAAATGCTGTTTGACCCGTATAGGCTAGCCCATTTTCTGCTATTACCTTACTCAAAACTACACACACACACACATATATAAAAGCAAACTACAAACAATTTCGTTAAAAGTTTATAGTAACCACCCTCAATATTGCAGCTTTTAATTTTGTTTTACTGAGTGCAAACTATTTTATACTATAGGCTGATTAGCCTATTTGAAAAGCAACACTGCCTCAGCTAGAATTGTGTCAGTTTTCCACATGTTAAATTAGCTTGTGATATCTGGTTTTACAGCCTACAGATTCTATTTTTGAAATATTTGGTTTATGGATTCAAACCTCACAATTCTTTAAAAAAAAAATCTGCTTTTTCCCTAATTAACTAATTGTCAATCTATTTAACTAGCTTAGTCATGTCTCTTCAAATCTTTCTCCTTTCCAAATTATAGCAAAAGCATATCAAGACATATCAACCTAACCCCATACAATAACCTTTTTAAACCTGGGATTATCCTGATAGCTTCTCTCTGAACTATCAACATCCTTTATTAAATAAGGTTACCAAAACTGAACACAATATTCTAAATTACTTCTAACGAGTACCTTACAGTGTGAATTAATGAACTTCAACTTATGTTCAGTATTTCTGCATGCATGCATGTATACAGCCTTATTATTTGTTCCTTTTCATTGTCTAGAAGGTTTTATAGACTTTGTATTAGCTAGATGTTAGACCAGCTCACAAAGTAGTCCAAAATTTAGCACAATTTGAAATGCTCGTTCAATATAATTTGTAAGTGTAACCAATCTATTACTTCATCAATGCCATTAATGAAAATAGAAAAACAGTAAAGGACTTACTGAGCCAGAACTTTGAGGTATCCTGTTTGTAACATTAATCCTCTGTGTTTTAATTTCATTTGTAACAACTTTCTGCTTTCAGCTCTTAACCAATTTAACATCATTTCATTAAATAAGTTTATCTCCCATCTCAACAAATGCAGTCTTCTTAAGAAGTCTCATTTGTGCTACCTTTTCACAGTTGTGGTAATAAAGACAATTATTTGATATATATTTCACTAGATGATTTTTCACATTACACAAGTGAGACTAACTGGTCTGTTATTTCCAGGGCAACTCTTGTCACCCATTTAGATTTAGGAGTACATTTATGATAACATTAGGATAAATATAATAATCTTGGGTTTATATGATTTAGTTCTACACATGGATTGAAAATAATTTTATTATGTCTTAGGTTACTGTTGACACTGAATTGTGTGGTGCTAAGTGGCCAACATTTATTATAATAGCAGCAATTACAAAGTTGTGATGGGTGATCCTCAAGTATATCCAAAAACATCAGGAGCCCTCCTTACAGGTAGTATCTTGGCATTTGTTGCAGGAGTTCTACTTCTTATTTCATTTTCAAGCCCCTATTGGCTGGTATCTTATCCAGAGACGTACTCAGAGTTTGTGCGTTTAGGACTTTGGGATGTCTGCTTTAGAAATTATCGTCATCCTCCTTATCAATATGATGAAAAGTTTGATGGCTGCCATTGGATCTTCAGTTATAAGTACCAGAACATTAGAGACTGGTTACAGCCAGGTAATTTTCATGTGTTTCGGTTTTTGAATCAGATTTTGAGTCTTTATTTTTAGGTATTTATTGTATATTTGTTTGTGATAATAGCTGTAAATTAGAAAGGTCTTGTATACCTTGAGAAGCTTATACTTTATAGCTAGATATTTGATAAATTGAGATGTTTTTAACATAATAATGGTTTCACTGCTGCCCTAGTAAGAGTGAGTGTATGTAGAGAAGGTTAAAGATAAATATTATTTTGGAAATTATTGTGGAACTTTTGTTTTGTATGGTTTTAAATATGTTTAAATATATAACAAATATTCAGTTCTGATTTAGCACCTTAATGACTATCATTCGTTTCCCCCTTCTTTTTTTTGAAATACTTGCAGGGTGGCTGATTTTCGTAGAGGCCATGATGTCTATAGCTCTGTGGTTCTCCTTGATGGCACTCTTGGTGATAAGTATTGTTCTGATGAGGTTTGTCATGAAATTGGAGGTATTTCTACTGGCAGTCTGTACAGTATTGCTGGGAATTACAGGTACTTGTACTGTAGCTTATCAACACACTTTAAGTTTCAAAATCAGTTATTAAGTTTAGTTTGTAATGGGTAGGAGTTTAGTAGGGCTGTTCAAATTTAATTTCTGATTTTGCTACCAAAATAGACATGCAACTATGAGATATACACTGTATTTCTAATGTATGAAACAATTATGTAAGAAAAATGTGTAAAAGACAATGATTCCGATTTACATGAAATTTGTGGAGACTGAATATTTATTTTGGGAATTAATTGTTGTATCTTTGTCTTTATTTAGCATTTACTGAGAGCTGCTGGTTAAAAAAGAAAACCATTATTAATTGACATTATATTGAATGTTCATGTAAGCTTATATGTGGTAATAGAGTTTAGATTAACATTCACAATTTTGAGAAGTGAAGTATGTGTACTTGCTGCCCAAATTGGATAAATGTTCATAATTATTGGTAGTGTGTTAGTTGTAAGGAAAACTGTTACTTTGGCTCTGATGTTTATATACATGTGTGTATATATATATATATATATATACAAAATCTAAAGTTTAAGAATTAAAGACTATTTTTTATTGTAAAAGTTTTTAGTAAGGCCTTCCTTTTAAAATGCTGTGTTCAATTTAGGCTTCTTTATTTTAATAGAAAGAACTTGGAGTTATGCAGAAAAGCTTGAACATTAATATTTGTTTTTTTTTATTATATTATTAGGGTTACATTTATTTGATTCACATGTTCAAAGGTTGTAGGAATTTAAGATGAATATGAATCAGATTTAACTTGAATTTTTTTTTCCTGCTTTTTCTGACTTCAAAAAATAGGGAAAATTAAAGATAGTATTGGATCTTCAAGAGGTGTCAAGTGGAACTTATGATTAATAGAACATGGCTAGAGTATCCAACAACATTTTACAGAATTTTTTTTACTAAGGAAAATGAAATACAAAATTTTGTTCAGAAGTTTAGAAGAGCTGTCTTTAAATTTAATTATTGTTGAAAAGGCTTGGGAAACTGAGAATAAAGCATCTGTAGCAAAAGGTTAAGCAGTAAGTTAGATTTTTTACTAAATTGGTAGAATTGTTAAAAAGTGAATAAATATTTGATCTGGTGGTAGGAAATGGAAGTTATTAATAGATATTCTTCTGATAAAAAAGAATGTGACTATGATACATGTATTTAACTAGGATTTATTTTGAACTTTATTTTTAAGCTAATGATTTTTAGTAATGATATGTCAAATTTCTAAATTTGCTGATGATACTAAGATTGTAGGAAAAAGTAATACTGTAAAATGGCTTCTAGTTTGTGAAGAATGTAATGGTCTTAGTGAGTGAACCATAATGTGTAAAAAGGAGTTTTGGAAGTGAGAAGTGTAAAGTGGGGTATGGACATTTGGAAAAAAAATTTAACTTCTTGTGTGAAAGGAATACTTGTGTTGTTTGAGAAAAAAGAGTTAATAATAGTTATTGGAGAATGTTTGAAACTATTGTTGGGTATTTATCTATGTGAAAAGGAGCCAATAGAATTTTGAGGTAAATTTTAACAGTTTAACTAACATATAACTGATGTGTACATGGTATAAATATTTTTATCCAAATAAACTGTGTTTCATCTGTTTCTTTTGAAGATACTTTGAATTGAACACTTGAAGTTAACAAGAGTATTTATAAACATGTGGCTTAATTTTATTCATTTTGACAAAGAAACGGTTACAAGATTCTTTAAGTATAATTTTCCTTATTCTTTGATAGATTGTTTAGGCAGAGTATTCATGATGAAACTTTGTAGAGACACAAGTGTAGAGGACAATGTTTTGAAAGTCTTCAGCCTATCATCTTCAGGATCTGAAGATGAAACATCGTCTTTTAGACTTGTGTCTCTACAACAGGCAGTTGTTGTCCATTCTACAAAGATTCATTATAATTTTCCTGTTTATTGTAACAGAGCTGTTCAGCTTTCTTACATGTAAGAATTATGTCTCTTATTTTTTATTTACCAGTATAACAATTTTTTTGATGTTAGCAATGTTTTTCTGGTCATTTTTGTTGTTATAAAAATATTATAATTACTTACATAAAATGTATTTTAATAAAATAGTGATAATTTAATTATTTACTTTTAGCTTTACCAGTGTTTCTGTCAGTTGCTGTCTTTGGAGGAAAGTGTTTTGACAGATCCTGGCTTCTATACCCCATCTTCAATCATCTTTCCTGGGCCTATGGTTTAGCAGTAATCTCTTTCTTTCTTCATGTTTTTGCTGCAGCATGCCTGTTTTCTGAAATATCTAAGGCCAAGGAGAGAAGACGGCGAGCTAATAATCTTATCTACAACATGCAGCCAAGGTATTAAATGATTTGTTTTTCTACACGATTTATGATACTTTTACAAAAGAGAGGTGATATTTTTTTCTGATTCTTTACTCCTAATTTCACATCAAACTGGAAGGAATGAATGAACGGGAATGTACGAGTAGATGAGAAAAAAGCTTGTCAATGCACAAGTTAAGATAATTGAAGAAACTGAAAGTGTATAGAGCACAAAAATCAAGTATTTTATGCATGTTACTTAAAGTTTAAGATTTTTCCATAGACAGGATAAATGTAATGGCTGTTTGGTATAAAACGTAATTGGCAGAGAGAGATATCCATAGAGGAATTGCATATAATTTAGTTAGGTCATCCATTAACTGTAAAAATTAGTAAAAATATAGAAAACTTTATATATTGATAAATATTGAATATTTTTTTAAAAGTTGTGTACATTTTGACAAACTTTAAATCTTCCAGTGTTAATCTTAAAAAGTAGAATTTATTTGTCATTATGTTAGTAAGTAGTCATACTATTGTATTGAACTAAAAATTGGATGGCAAGTAAGTGTTTTAGAACTACAATGCAGGACATTTATATTTAAATGGATTGTTATCATGTACTTCTTATAAGAAATGTATTGTATTGAACTAAAAATTGGATGGCAAGTAAGTGTTTTAGAACTACAATGCAGGACATTTATATTTAAGTGGATTGTTATCATGTACTTCTTATAAGAAATGTTGTGTAGTTGTGACTTTTGATAACTGCATACTAACGTGTAAATTTGTAACTCACAGTTACAGATACACATATCGTGGATTGTAAAATATTTAATACTTATGCTGTAATTATCACTAATCTTACTTGCCACTTTTTCCAAGATTTTATCAGTAGTTTTCGGCTTGGAACGTGTACTGTAGGAAAGGAGAATCTCATATTTCTCTTTTGCTCGAGCAGGAAAAAGGGTAATGTCAATCCTTGTGTCAGTCCAGTACCTTCTTCAGCAGAACAGGGCACTAAATACTAACTCTTCAGCTGACAATGGACAGTATGTTCTCTTCAGTTTGTAGGCACTGTGCACCAGTAAATTGATTTTCTCCTTTTTGCATGTGTATTTTTTCTGGCATGAGCTTTTGCATGATTAATGTTTATATTAAGCTGTTTATTCATTAAACTGATGAAACGCACATGCACAAGTGTTTTTCAATTTATAACAATTTTTAAGGAAAAAAAAAATTCATTTTGAAAGTTTTTGCTATATGGTTGGTCAAATAAATTCTTAATTTATTGAAAATCATCAGGAACTTAATTTCATGTAGCATAATTAATCAAGATTGTTTAACACATTTAATAAGTCGGGCTTGGGAGACAAAAGATTGAAATGGGGGGGCCTGTCGCAGTATTGAAATCTGTCACTGAAAATGCTCATTCTTTCAGGTATAGAGGCATAATGTGATGGTCAATCCAACAATTTCTTGATAAAGAGTAGTCCAATAGTTTGGGTTGGGTGGTGACGACTAACTGTTTTTTCTCTAGTCTGATGTAGATTTTTCATGAGTTCTCTAACTTTCATTGGAACAAAATTTTCACTTAATCGAGCTTTCAAGATGCCATTGTTGATTGGGGTAAGTTCATAGTTTATAAGACAGAATTTTCTTCTCGCTCCACGGCTTCAATTTTGAACTGGAAGACGGACATTAGTGAATGTGTAAACTGTAGATACATTTTCAAAAAAGTTTTTGCTCATAGTTGATGTTTCTTTAAGTAATAAAAAAAATTCTTTCAGAACAGGAAACAATTTCAAAATTCTTTCTGTTGCTGGAAATAAGCTAAGCCATCTGGTTCTACTGTGGCTCAGTAGCTGTTGATAGCTACTATCTACATATTCGCAAATATCTTTCAATGCTTCTGTATGAACGTTGTAGATTGAAAAATAATTAAATATTTTCAAAGCAATCACTTCAACATCAACTTTCAATAAGTCTGAACCATGCTGAGTACAGTTGTGGAGAATATGTGCAGGACATCCGATACCAATGTTGTACCTGTTGAGAGCCTGCTTCAAGGATGAAAAAACATTTTTGCCTTCCTTGCTATTAACACCACCAAAATTAACGTTTGTGTTGTCACCAGTGAATGTGAAACATTTCATAGATAAGTCAAATTTCTCTAGTGTCCATAATAAAAAATTTGATATAGTTTCAGATGTTTCACTGACAAAATCATTAGCCCATCTACAAACGTGATCATGCTGGCCACTGACAAAATCATTAGTCCATCTACAAACGGAAAAGAGCACGTTCTTTGTGCACGCAATTACTGTCAGATTCTTCAGTCTCTTATCTGCCATATTGGTTCTAAGGTGATTTTTGATCAGTTTTAGCTTGCTAAAGCTCCTTTCACAGCCGGCTGTGCTAGCTGGAAGAGTTATTGCTATCTTTATAATCTTGTCAAATTCAGCAAAAGCCACAAATAGGGGTTTAAGATGTTCTGTAAACTCCTCGACTGCTCCAAATGTCGCACCTGAACGATCATTTATTCTCTTAGCTTATTTCATTTCCATTTGTGTCTTCAAGATTCAGCCTTGGGCTGCAGTGGGTTCAATAGTCTGAAAACTTTTCAGATTTAAGGTCAATTGTCGACAGGGAGCGGAGCATTTGGATATTCGCCCCACTGAATCGTTTGTTTAGTGCCCCAAGATGGATCCTTTCATATAAGATGAATCTCATATGGCATTCCACTTCCCAAGCGTGATTAGAACTACAAAGTTGTCCATGTTTGAGTGTGTGGAGCTCTGTATTTGACGCCAACGGCAACATTTCAGGTCATTTCTGGTAGCTATGTCACATCTATAGGTTGCAACTATGCTAGAAGACTCTCAGTGGAATCTGCTGTTTTCAAGTAATCTAGCTTGGAACTTTGCAGCATATCTTATGCTTCAATAAGATGTC